TCCAAAAATTTCATGACATTAATTTAAGGATACTCAGTGAAAAAAATTAGCCTGCTAAAATCAGTCATGAGTTAATCAGCTTAATTATATAATACGTCATAACTTGAAAAATCCTAGAAAATAAGGATCATCTACGAAAGGAAGTGTATTTAGCAACCTCTGTTGGATGCTTTAGAAGATATCCGTTATGACAGAATTTAACATCGTTCATTGCGTTAAAAACGTTTGGACGGTACATCGTAAACACACATCACGTATAATTTAGTAAATCCTACTATTCTTTTGCGCAATTACCGTGGTTGTTAAAAGGGAAAATGCGCAAATCAAATAATAAAATAAATAATTCATAGATGAGGTCTAAAAGAACAAATTGTGATCAAAGCAATAAATAAGCAGATTGACTATGTTTTGGTTGAGATTTTCATTTTTTTGCGATTTTTGCCTAACATCATTTTATGTGTGACTGAGTTAGCATCCTGTAAAGGAAGGAAGAGGCTAGGTTATAGATAAGAATTTCTATCTTGCTTTTTCCATATCAGTCAATTGAACGTGCCGCTCAAGTAAAGTACGTTTTTCAGTCGTTTCCTTGTGATATGGTGTCTCAAATACAAGAAATTCACTTGATTCTACAGATTCCACGAAAGGATTAGAGAGAATGCCGCTAGCGGATGTCCTGGTAATTTTTACAGGCGCCTCATCCGCTGATGATTCATCAGAAGACCCTACAGCGAGACTATATATGAAAACAAATATAATTAATACAATTTTTTGATGCCTGAAACGCTATTTACGTATCCATGAGGACTGTCATCTGAGGTAGTCAAAGGTCTAGTATTTTTACCCTCTAAAATTAAAGAACAAGTCATACTCCAATGTCATTTCTCCGCCAATAATTTTATCCTTAATTAGTGAGTACTCATCATCTTTCTCACTTGCAGAAGAGTCAGTACCAGAATCGTCATAATCAACAAGAGGCATTGAGAAACGAGAAAGACAAATGGTGCGGAAAAAAATCAGTTAGTAAAATAACTTATCGGTTTGTTTTGTCTATTATTTTTATTTTTAAAAATCATAAAATGTACTTATTATGTATATTATTTAATTAGGTGAGCGAATATTTGATTTTGATAATAAAGGATGTTTAATATCGGTCTTTTTTATCCATATTTAGATTGCGACATTCTTTTATAAGAGTGGATCAAAAATAACGGGTATACTAAATTATTATAATCTAGTTTTATTCGCAAACGAGAGAAGATATATTTCATAATAAATTTATACTTTTTGAGGACGAACAGCAAGTGCTGCTCTGATAACAATGTTGCGATGATAAAAAAACTTTTCTTCTCGCCAAACTTATATTTACTTTTATCAATTTATATATTATTATCGTTATTCCATGCTATTCCTTGACGCTTGTTACATTTATTTAATTTGTCTTATGCAATAAATGCTTGAAGAAAGTCTTGAAAATTTCCATTTTATTCTCTT